AATAATAATAATAATAATAATAATAATAATAAAAGAGATAAAAGTTAGCAGCAACTCAGAGAAAAGCCGCTAAGGACGCTAAAAAAAAACCCAGCTTTTTAGAAAATGAAAAGTCAATGAAAAAACCTCTGCAGCAAAGCTTGTGTTCGGGGTCGAACTCGTCAAACAGTTCTGAAACGTGTTGACTGTGTTCGTTGAGTCTCCACAATTTTTCTTCACTGATGCGATTGAAGAGAAGTCAATAAGCTGTCCACTGTTCTTCTGCTGTGCATTAGCTAAGTCCTGAGCAGAGACGAAATAGCAGTCAGGACCAGAAACACCAGAACCGGAAGGCTTTAAAGCTGTGACGAATGAACTAAGCTGAACGGGCTGCTGAAAGTACTAAAATCATTGAAACCAGTTTCGGAATATGTACACATCAGTTTATTAAAATTACTTTTGAAGGGGCTCCTCGCTGAACCAGTGACCTTCCACGTTTTCTGGACTGCTGCATGCTTTCAAACTGTAGCTTGAATGCGTTATTTTCAGATTCAACTACATGGTCATGCACAATAACAGCAGCTTCAGTACTTGTTTCAGACGCAGCAGGAAGAACCTGTTTGGTCGGAATCACTGGTGGCTGCTTCAAGGCCTCAGAATGAACAGAAGACGATGCCCTCCTTTTTCGGGACCCCTCTTCTACTAGGGAAAAACTATGAGAGATTTCCGCTTCGTCTGGCTCAGAAAGAACCTAAATAAAAATTTCTTTCAATTCCACAGAAAAACCGGTCCAATTTTCACAATCTATCCTCATTTGTTATCACCTTGCACAAATTTTCCCCGTAATTACGATTTATTAAAGAAACAAAAATATTCCAAGGCTCGACACTGCTTCTTTTCAAAGGATTAGTAGAGTACTGCAAACGTATATCGCGTTCCATACCACACTAAAATATCTGGCGTAGGTAAATGTTAGGACAATCTGCGTGTAACAGCCATTCATGGGAACGTAACTTGGAAGTAAAGAACACTTGTTTTCTAATTACAGACCAGATAAAACAGTTCTGTCACTGTGGCGTTACCAACAACTTTTTCAGTTAAGCCAGATCGTAATCGGACTGCTGATAAAGTAAAGGTGTTCGCATCAGTAAGTACTTCATCCGTCTCTTCCACAACCGACTCTAAAACTCATCTTTTAACACTATACCTCAAATGCTAGATCTTTCTTAATGAAAATTGTACCGGTATTTCGTTCAGATGTTTCCACCGAGTTAGCAGGACAAACACCACTTTCGGAATTACCGGAGTCGTAGCATGTTTCCGTAAATGATAAAACGCGTTCTTTTTTTAACCTTAAAAAAACTAAATTGACAAAAAATAAGATCCCAATGTTGAGAACTGATTAGAAAGTTACCTATTTAATGAGATTAAAGATGATGATGACTCTTTCAAGTATTTTAAAAAGACGCTTTCTACTTTAGTCGTTTTATCTGGATATAAAGCCAGGTCCAACTCTTCAGTATCGGAAGAAATGTCCTCTTGTTGAAAAATATCCTTGAAATAATTATGAACCAGATAAATTCAAGCAAATGAATCTTATGTGGGTAAAGTACAGAAAAGAAATAACATGAAAGAACTACTCACACAACTTTCAAGAAGCACAGGCACTAAATTAAAAAAAACTCTCCACAATCCTCAATAGAATTGTACCTGTTTTGCAATCCGGTGTACCCACTTTGCTTTCAAAAGTAAAAAAATACGAGCAATTTGCTCTCCTACAGAAATTCGAATCCTTAAAAGAGGGTTCTGCCCGCACGTTTCCACATAATACCGATCACCCTGCGTTTTTGGAGTAAGCCAAATTACCACATGAGAAGGTAATCGTTCTTCAGTTCTCTTGCCTGGTTAAAAGATATAATTATAAGATATAACCATGTAAAATTTTTAGACTTACTAACCTGGAAAGAATTTTTGTAACGAAGGGCAAAATGGAGTCCGAATGACCAGGTTTTGCTTCTTTTTTTTATTTCGCAATGAAGTTGATCTAGAAAGTGACGTAAATGTGAAGTAATATGACTAGAAAAGAGCAAGTGGCCCCTAACAAATGAAGGTGAGAAACTGATTAAAATTCTTTTACCCCTCAAGTACAAGTTGGCGCAATTTCGCAGGTTCAATTTTCGTATCTTCAGTTCTTTTCTTCCATTCAAAACCGTTTATAACGATGAAAAGCTCTCTAGCATCACGAGGGAACTCATTGATCACATCTTAAATAAAATGCGATCACTTTTTCAAAACATTATAGCAATAGCCAATTCTGCACAAAAGGTAGGAATGCAATACCATCTTCAAACTGTGCAGTTGAGCGGAGCAGCTTAAAGGAGTTATAATAATAGTTCCGAATTTGCTCTTTGTCCTTGTTCATCTTCTTCTTAGCCATTAATTTTGCTACTTGGTCAAAATCCTTACCAAACTGAAAAAATCTGCTCATTACTAACCTTACCCCAATGCTTCCACCGCTTTAAATTTCAATAATAGCAGAATTTTTCGTATTTTGCGTCAGCATACAATATTCTGACGAAGTGTAATAATACAAAATAACCAACGACCATTGACCAAACATGAGTACTTCCCTAAATAAGTAAATTAACCTGCTTAATGCCATCGTAGAAAGTACTAATTTCAAGATTACTCCACATCCCCCACTTCCTCGTTGTCTTTCCCAAATTACTTATTTGGGCTGACCCAGAGGTAGTTTGTTCCGTCTCAGAATTTCCTGAACTCGATGACGGCTGAGGTGTGGGAGCAGCACCTGACACAGGTATACTGTAGGGCCTGAACGTCATCCGCCTTCTCGATACCACACTTCCCGTAGGATCACACTTGACCGCATGCTGGACGTCCCTAGGACCTTCTTCAACCATATGGTAATACCCTAAAAAAACAAGTCAATTTAAAGACCATACCGGGAAAACTGTATCCTATGACCATCATAAGCATTTAACGTCACTCGCGGAGAAACGAATAAACCTCATAAAACATCTGAGAACAGAGACAACAACGCCTTCCTTCTTTATAGACAAGCAATAAGTATTATCAAACAGACGCAATATCCATTCTCAGCGGTGAAAATACCAAACAATAAGTGAAAAACTCTTTTATTAACTCCAAAAAACCCGTCATCAACAAATAATACTAAATACTACTACTTTTGCTACGACATTTCTAAACAACGCAGCTGAAACGGTAACAGTTTCAGGCACTCGCAGTTATATATATATATAAAATAATGCAAATAAATATACAGACTCAATGACAGTGCACCCGCCATACTTAATTCAAGCATGAAAATAGAGTTGAAATATGGTGAGATATAAGTTTTATAATATGGTCACACCAAAACAAAAAAATGTTTCATCCTACTCGGCTTTTCCCAGCGGCTACGGCCCAAGTTTACACCCCTTGATTAGAGCTGGTTTAAAAATAAAAATTTTGTACGGTGGTGGAAAGTACTGGACAGAACAAGCCTATCAAACAAAAAAACTCTAAATTACTAAACAAAATACAAAACTTCTTCAAAGATAGGTAAGTTATTGTTAAAACTACAAAAGGAAATTAAAATTTCACACCAGTTTCTTCAATCACTGACTGAACTACTGTTCTAACATGAGCAGGTAAAGAATCAAGTTTCAACCATCCAGAAACCTTGTGAAAAATTTCTTTCTTGCGGACAGCCTTGAGTAAATATTCTTCACCCTTCCTGAGATCACTTCTTGCGAAACTTAGAGATGCTAAATAAAATTGCGCTTCAGCACAACCTGCATCAGCAGATTCTTCCATTAATTTTAATCCTGAATCAACGTCCTTAACCTCAACACCATAACCATTGATGTAACAAACAGCTAACTGATAGGTAGAAAGAGAGTGACCAAGTGAAGATGCTCGTTTCCACAATTCTACGGCCTAAAATAAAAGTTTATCGATCAAAAAAAGTTTGCTCAACTTCTAGCATTGCTTTATCTAATTTGAAATGCAGAATATAAAAATCAAATAGAAGTTTTTCAAACTGTGGTTTAGAAACAACCTTCTTAAAATTTTTCAAAACGTGTTCCCCGTTTGCGTAACACATGGCCAAGTTATAACATGCTTCAGCTGAACCGTTTTTTGCTGCTATATTCCAGACATTTATAGCTTCTCCTCCTAGACCCAACTCTGCCATTTCATTCCCAACTTCATTTTCAAAGTCGCTCCTGCAAAATCAGAGAAGTTCCATTAGTCCAATGGATATCTAAAAAGAAAGAAAACAGAACTCTCAACAGAGCGAAAAGATATTTTTCAAGATGCACCTAATCAGAATAATCACGCAAACATTTAAATACTCCAGTGTAACATATATAATAAAATATATATATATAACTGTAAATACCACTCACTCCAATTTGCTAGCATTTAGCTCCCCCACATTGAAAATAGAGTCTAAATCGGTCTGAACAGCGACGTCAGCGTTCAGCCTTTCTCCAACCTTCCGTAAAGATGCAGAAGTTTTAGTTTTTGAAACTGACGAGGCGTCCAGACGCAGTGGGAAAACATTTTGTTTACTACCAACTGCGAACTGACATAAGGGACATGACTGATCATTTTCACCGGTACACTCAAGTGAAGCTTCAATACCTCCTTGATAGACATCGGATGAAAGGAAACTGAACAACCCTTTACTACGATTGTCACATCTCCTAACGATCTTTAGCAGCTCTGGAGGTCTAAAAAAACAAATCTGAACAAATGAGTTGGCAATTATTCAAATGTCTTACAGTGGACCGTCAAAAAAACTGCATAAAAACCAGCATGAAAAAAACCACGGAGCAAATATCCCCTGTTCTGCCAATTCAACAACGATTTTACGTACACAATTCAAAAGTTTTATGTAAGAAAAATTTTTCAGTCCCACCGTCTCTAGCAATAAGAAAAAAAAGATGGAGAGAGGAATTTTCAAGTCATAAATTCGACCTTTAATAGATCAGCGATTTTTTTAAGACGCTCCTTAAAAAACTAATCTGTCGTGTTCTATACAGTCACATTTTACTATGCTGATCATTACCAACTTGCGTACATTGCCTGTGTATTTGATAGACCACATAATTTTTTCGTCCATGCCAGTAATGGACTGTCTTCTGGTGACACTGATCGATCTTCATGATCTTTGTTACATCCAACATGAGCTATAAATGAAGGCTGTTTAGCAAGACTACAGCCTTTCCATACATTCCGTACCACATGTCTCTGTGCATTCATTAATCTAAAATATCACACCTACAAATGCGCACAGTTTACCGCCAATAATTCAAAACCACTGATATTCGACGAAATATTGTCGCATAAGGTCAAGAGAAGAAAAGAAAAATATGGGAATTTAAAAAGAGCAATAAAAACTAACTTTTTAACACCGCATTAAAGAACACCCTGACTTGGTTCAACTACACAATATGTTAAAATTAACGAGTGAAATCACAGGTGTTGTTAAGTTGGACAGAATTGGTAGGGTTTTAAACTTTAACAGAAAAAAATTGATGACTTTAACCTCTTTCAATACATAAAAAAGTATACCAAGAAAACAATATAAAAAAATTTTACGTTTTATCAAGTGCTGTACCCATCATTTAGCAGAATATAAGTGAAGGAAGGAAACAGACGGACAAATAATGAAAATATCTAGCTTAATGTGCAAATCAGATCAAAACATTGGGCAACAAATTTCTAAGGACTGCTTAAAAGCAAAGAAGCAGATTTTTGACACTTGGCTGTCAGCCAGATACACAATTTACACTGAAACCATTAATTCAGGCAGCGTAGTGGAGTCGACAGGAGCCACTTTGCGGCATCCGTTAAGCGGAAATATTGTGTTGGTCACATGGTATAGGTGTGTGTTTGAAGCATTCCAACAGTAACGTATTCATTTTCCATGATAAACAACTCTTCTTTTGCCAACTCATTTTTGATAAGTGTTGTGGACTTCGTAAACAATATGATGTGAACAAAGAAGTTTATATTTTTAACTGATTAATTATTGATCATTGTAACTTTAGCGTCCTGATTTTAGACTATATCTGTAACTGCTTCTGAAGTTCAGCGCCAACAGTTTCTTCAAGAATTGTTGGTAGAATGTTTCCATGACAAGAACATAAACGCTGTAATTTTAGGTGCATGAAAGATAGTATTGCGCATTTAAACCAATAAATAATTCGTTCACAAATATTTGCGTATTTCATCCCCTTATTCAAGCTAGTAGTTTTTAATTGAAAAATTTTTAACAAATTCCAGCCGACAACCATTGGGTAGACTGAGTCGGTGTTGCGATTAAACTCTAAAGTAGCTGGTTGCAATTAACTATCAGCGAAATCTAGCAATATACTGCATTTTACTAGATCTACACAAAAACACCATTGATATTGGATAGGCCTGAACTTCTGTCAATGACGAATTAGGTTTTAGATTCTTTTGTCGGTTATACTAATTTCCGCTGTATCTCTTTCGCGGCGTCGAGCACCTCTTAGATGATTATCAAGCTTCTTTTGGAATTTTACCAGAGGTGTATTGTGCATTCCCATCTACTGCAATAGTTCTCTATATGAATACGTAATTAGACTGTTCTCTGCACACCTTCCTGGTTGCTGCTGGATTCGTTGGCACAACGATAGTACATTTTTAATTATTTGTCAATCTTTGGCCTTTTCAGTTTTTCTGGACGTATCGCGTAAATTTAAAAATGACTTCGCAGCCGAAAGAATTATTTACATTAAATTAAATTAAATTTCCGGCACTAATTGGTAAACATGGAAGCCTCATTTAAACGATCAAACTTTACTGCTGTCTGCCCAAAGTAACTTATAACTTTTTGAATGATGGAATTAAAAAATGACAGTCTCCGTGAACAACTTAAACTAGTGAACCAAACTGCACTTGTTAAAATCATACTCCAAGTTCATTCAACAGTTCAAGTGTTGAAGGATTGCTCCCTTGTTAACGGTAATTTCATAAAGTCTTTATATTATATTCAAATTAGCTTCGTAAATAAGTCAAACCGCATCGTCAAGGCCTTTTTATTAGTTTCAGCAACTATTATTTTCAAAAAATCAAGTTCCAACAGAAAAGGATCTTTGACCTTTCAAATAAGGAAAAACTAGTCTAATATAACAATTCCTAATGCAATACTAATACCCACTATAAACATATAGAATGCTTACGCTTTAAAATTGTATACTAAACAAGTGTGTGTTTGAAAAACATCCCATCTATTCATCAATAATCGTCTAAGGTTTTGGCCAGTAATACGAGATATCACAAAGCTTTTAAATATTAAAATGAAGAAAGCATCTAAAATGAATTCCTACGAAAGCTAAAAAAAGTCTGCAAACTTCCTAAGCTTTAGCATTTAGAAAAATCCAAAAGCTGTGCTAATCCTCTTCAAAGAAAGTTTTTCTTTTATCTCCCCACTAACGCCCTAAAAAAATTTAAAACGTAAATGATTCTGCGTCTAAAAAGAAAATGAGCTTAGGATGATATAACGAAATAATCAAAACAGTGAACGGTGTTAATAATCAGTGCCTTCACAACAAAAAGAAAAATTGAGCGCGTTACAGCACTTGGGAAATACAAAAATATTTGGTCATCTCACAGCAATAAAAAAATCTACAGAGCATAGAGAGTTTCTAAGACGCATCTTTCTTTTTACGTTTTCTGTTCCTATGCTGAGGGAAAGACGGCATTAGACTTGGTTCACACGGCAACGGAGGTTCGTCAAAGTACCTGTAAAAATAACTACTTTCTCCGAAATGACTATTACAGGCACAGCAGTAAAATAATTATACCTAGATTTCAAAGCCGTTTCTGCAGATATCCGCAGGTGAGGGTCATAAGTGAAAAGGGCATTGAGCAGTTGCAAACAACTCAAGGAAGATCGGTCAAAAACACTTTTAAGTTTGTTGTACGGCTGGTGGACTAACTGAATATTTTTTACTGCCGGCAAATCATCAAAACCTTTCCATATTGTTTCCGTAGGTGTACCAAGCAATCCAATGATGCGATTGATCTAAAGTGGTGTTTGGTAACCTGTGTACCCTATTAGCAATTTTTCTGGACTTAAAATCACCAAAAGCATGGATACCCTAACGTTGCTGCTAGATAAGTACAGGCTAAAAATTAAAATCTAAGAAAAAACAACCTTATAAAAAATTATATAAAGTTGCAGAATTTAACCCGTTATCCTATTAGGAGCTGTATCCTACCTAATAACGAATAAACACAGAAAAACATAATTTAACTAAAGAAAGTACAAATACTTGATCTATTTCAGTCTTCCCCGGGAGGAGAGGTCTATGAATGAGCAGCTCGCCAAAAATGCACCCAGCAGCCCACATATCAACACCAGTACTTTGTTCCCTAGCTCCAAACAGTAGTTCAGGACTGCGATACCTGTAGTAGTTCAAACTTGAACGAGGTCAGTTCTTCCTTAGTAAAAAAGGACAAAAATTGGCTTTTTTTATATATAAATATATAAAGGGAAACCATAAAGTGACAACTCTCGGCGTCATATCGTTACACGGGTCTCCAAATGTACGTGCCAGACCAAAATCAGCAACCTTCAGGCAGCCATCATCATTTAAAAGTAAATTTGATACCTAAGGTTAAAATGTCGGTAAAATTAAGGAGAAACGAAAGAACGTAACTAATCATAAAAAAGTCAAACTGTACTAAAGGATTCAATCGATACCTTTAAGTCTCTATGGACTACATGATTTTTGTGCAGGTAAACAAGTGCTTTGAAGAGTTGAATAATGATACATTTGACTTGCGGTTCCGTAAATCGTGCAGACATGTTGTCCAGAAGAGACGCAAGATCATGAAATATTGTATTGTAGTTCTTCGCAGCTTTAACAAAAAAATACAGTACATATCAAAACCCTAAGGAACACAATAATTGTTTCATCGAAACGGAAAGACGATTATAGCAGTCGATACTAATGAAAACCACTATATACCTTAAACGTATCGCATGGCTGCTGACTACTCGTTAAAAAAATATAAAAAGTGAAATATGGTATAGTATTGATAAAAAGACCTGTGTGCAGTATTCCATAACTAGGAATATAGATGTCAAATGATGCCCTACAGCAATTTCATGGAGCCGTACTATGTTCTTATGCCTAAGCCTTAACAGTAAACGGATTTCCCGCATAGCCGACAACGAAATCCCATCCTCTTCACTCTTCTCGTCCATACGGACCTTCTTCAATGCAACCTTAAAATCACCACCATATAATCCTCAGTACTTCTGAAAAAGCCAATAAAATATTAAACATAAAGACAACTTATCCTAAACGCCATTAGTTCCTAAATCTTCTAAAAAATCGGCTAAATTACAGCTACAGAGAAAACCATTCACTTCTACCGCACTACCCAATTCTCAAATGTATAGCTGTCAATGATTTAATATAATGCACAAATATTTCGTGCTTAACGCTGAGGAACAAGCTTAAAAAATAAAAAAAAAGTCGGAAAAAGTAGCCCCTCAACCCTATTTAGGTCAGCTTTCCATTATACGTATCCATGCAAATGATTCTGTGTAATTCTACCTAAAAAAGCTCGGCTTTTTAAAAGTTCAGCGATGACCCTACAAGAAAATGATCATTCAAATGTTTACTTTCACTACTAAATTTAACTGGTTTCAATAAAAACTAAAAATGAAATACATTATTTACAGGTACAAACACAAATCTTCAAGTGGTCTAATAGCCTAATAAATCTCTATTTTTTAAAACAATATTCCGTTCAGCAAAATAGCCGGGTTTATTCTCGCGGCTTGACAAAAACCAACTCTTCAGAACATGTGTTTCTGAGACACACTCCTCGCCTTCGCAAATCTGGAGTATGACTTTAAAAAACACCAAAATTTTTAAAAGAAAATAAGCCACATTCAATGCATGTGAGCAATCTGCCGTCTGCTGCCCAAAAAGAAGAAAAAACAACTCTCTGAGGTGGATAAAAACTAGTTGTTTTAATGGCTTACAATTTGTCCGCTTTTCGAATCTCGCGCCCGATAAACAATGCCGTATGTACCTTCACCAACACGATTCAATTTTTCAAACTCATTCACCGCTCTACATCGTCCATAACCAATCTGGCTCTACGATACACAAAATAGTATCAGGGGAATAATTACTCACTAATATATCCAGAAAGCAACTAATAATAAAGAAGTATTTTTGCTAAAGTTAATAAGTTGATGAGTTATTTACAGCCGTCTGTTAAGTTATTTTACGAAGAAACCAACGGAACCCATACTTCAGGGATTTTATGAAGCTGGAGATCCGCCACTGAAAGATATATTGTGCCATCAACGTTTTGTAGTTCCTCACTCATCACTTTTAGAATGGATAGCAAACATGACGCTTCTCAAAAATAACGAATGCTGAAAAAGACAGAATTGAAGAACCATCCTAACTCTTTGATTATTGGACGCATATTTCTCCAATTACCTTCACTACTCCACCAAACCTACTAGATGCAACTGTGTAACAAAGACCAACTTTCAAAAACCTTTCTGTTAAAACCAAAGTGAACTCAAAACTAAATTTAACAATCTTCCACGGTGGTAAAACTCAATGGCCTCCAACATATATTTCCTAAAAATGAACTCAGAAATATGGAACGCAGAGCAAAAACCATCACATTTCACCACCTCCCGCCCGCCCAATTTACACTGCAAATCCTCTTGATCAATCTATTAATCGACAAAAACAAAAACCTTAAAACAACGAACGCCAACGTTCTCGACCTGCCTCAGAAACAAGTTTGCGACAAACTCGACCGATTAATGCAACTTCAATCCACAAACTTTTTAAAGCAACAGCTCTTTGGTTTTCCAGATGACTGTCTGAGACGAAAACAATACAAAACATATAGTTTTATCTGAAATTAATATTTCGCAGTAAAAGTTAGGCAAAACTGAGCAACTTTTATCAAAGATAAATAAAATTTGCAAGGAAGAACCGACACCTAATTTCTTAAATGTTCTTGAGAACTAATCAAGTTATACAAAAGTCTTTAGAAAAAACAGAGATCTGAAACAACGATCGAATAATTAATTAAAGGGAAAAGAATAGGCTACTGTTGAGCATCAAACTGTAATTTCCAATCAGGAGTACAGAAGCACTCTACGGTTGAATACCAAAATATCTAACCACACACATCTGAACATAAAATCTTGAATTCGGCTTATAATCGTAATTTGATCACATATATCAAACCAGTCTTGAAAAGCACAACCCAATTTTTGAGCGTCAATGAAAAATTCCCCTCAAAGAAAAAATAAACCATTGAAAAATTTAGCAGTGTATCTCGCACCCTCATCTGAAAACAAAACCACCTAAATATCAAAGGTGAATTAAAGCTTTAGCCTCAACTTAATAACCACTATTTACAGAAAATAAACAAGAAATACATCATATAAAAACAATAAAAGCCGTCCAGAGACAAATGACCCTTCTACCATGAGCAAGAAAACATCACAGAATATAAAGAATTCTTTTACACAATATAAAATTTATAGGTTAAATTTCGTACATACAATACAACTCAACAGAAGAACCAAATAATCAAAAAAGGCGATCTTAAACTGCTCAATAAGTTACTCCACAAACAGCGCTTGAAATTAAATTACAAGAAGGAACATTTTGTGGTGAACTAGGTTTCATTCCATCGTAACACTTTCTACAGGCTTTTCTTTGGACCCCCTGCATGCTAAAATAAGAGCGCTCCAAACATTTATCACAGAACAGTTTACCACAGTTCCTGAAAACAAAGTATTAAATAACGGCAAGAGTACATCTACAGAACGAAGAAAGTAAGGTCAAGCCAAGGAAATAAAAAACTCAATCACCTCTGTCCTAAATTCGAACATTAAATCAAAACAAACCCGCAGTTGTGTAATTTTGAAACCCCGCATGATTTTGAACATCCAAAACACTTTTCCGACGACCCCAGTTTCATCAGGCCCTTTGAGCCATCATATTCTTCCACTGCTTCATCTTTTAAAATTAGTTCTGGGGGAGAACAAGAAAGTCCTGAATCTCGAAATGCCTCGTCAGCCTACAAATCACAGCTGAAAAGTAGGTCTTTAAAGAATAGTAGATTAAAGATGATTCGGCCTATAAGTCTAACCCAAATAGTACAACTACTGCTATCTACGAAAAGATGCAGAAAATACATTTGTAAACGTTGACTCTTCCGACGCTGTACTTGAGTTTTTTCCACCGTCTGAATCCCGAAGCTGTAGCGAAGCATTTCGATAGCGAGACTCCTCCTAAAACCAAATCCTAGATGCAAATGAATATATGTCCGACTGTAAAATTACTGAAAATTACAAGGGGCACAACCAAATAATTGCAAAAATGATCATTTTACTAGAAAAATGGAAATCCAGAAAACTTTTAAGGGGATTAGAAATCTGCAAAGTCTAAAGCTGTTAGACTAAAAACGAATAACTGCACACAACGATATTTATTCAGCCAAGGCAAGCAATAAAGGTACAAAACTAGAAATTGGGAAGTTCACTCGAAGTTGCAAAATTCATTATTATTATTCATGATCAGTTATCATCATCATCATATTCTTTCACAAAACCTACAATTAAAGCAGCCCTACTAGAAACCTTATACCTCTTCTGTCTCATAGATGAGAACTCGAGACCCAACAACTCTGAAGGAGAAGTTGTTTCGCGCACAGTATTTTTCAAATTAAAAGCACCCTTTCTTCTACCTCTCTTCACAGCTTTACCGCTCCCTAATCGAAATCCTTTCTTGCATTATTTCAAATGTTTTTTTAACCATTACCAAATAAACAGTTTAAGTCGTAAAATGCGCAATCCAATTTGTACAACCATTTCTGCGGTGCAATTTGCTTTTAAACATTATCTTTTTGAAAAGGCACAGTGGCAAACTTCTTCTGCACCTCTTCCAGAATAAAAATAAAAAAACATGACACTGTTCACCCTGGGCGGCAATGCTACTTAATATTAAAACTTTGGCTGCTATTTGATGCACAGTCAGCATACTAAATTCCTGCAATTTCCTTGCAAACCTTGAACAAGCGGAAAACTAAAGTCTTCTTTATCTCCACTCCACTCCCAAAAGTGGCTTCCTAAATCTTCTTCAACACCCAGGAAGAGAAATAACAACTTGAAACACGGTTACACTAATTTTAAACTGTATATGACAAAGCAAAATATGCTATGAGTTGGTTGAGGAGTGAGTTACTACATTCCCAATCTGAAATTGAAGCTGTTCAGCCTTGAAAATATGACATCATCTCCTAATTTCAACTACAGCTCCATCAAGACTGACCTTCGACATTTTTTACTGGCTACTTTCCATAAAAAAGAAAAGAAATAGCCGAGTGTTCCTTCGCTCACCAAACAAATCAAACTTTCTTCTGCAACAGGACTACTCTTATGACACTATTATTCAATCCACTAACTTAATGTTAAATCCAATGAAAGTTACACAAAGATCAATCATCTCGACATAATTAACAAGCGCTCAGAAAATCTCCAGACAGCCTACAAAATCCCTATCAAAACCCTAAATAAGTACAAGATTGAAATTAAACTGCTTTTGGAAACCTATAGCAGCATAACACTGACTGCCAAAAAGCGTTGGCTAGACAGCAGCACAAAAAGCTTAAATTTCTTGCATTCAACACCCTTTGAATAGTTCACCAACAGCATCCCCTGACTTGTGCAAAAACCTGTCAGCAAGATTCTCTCAAAAGTTATTTTTCGAGTGATATCTGACTGAAAAACTTTCTAAGGTTTTTTGAAATTAATTTGTATATACCGGTACTAAAAAGTGGAGCAGAAGGGTAAAAACAGAGGAAGAAGAAAAAACAGTAAAAATATAAATCCTTCAAACAGCAAGAGTGAAATCTAAATTTCCGAACAAGGATTAAATTCAGCTGTATACTCCCAGCAGTACAAAAAAACTGTTGTTAATATTCACGAGATCAAAAAAAGTATATAGATTTCACAACCTGGCATGAAAACCCCGAAAAATTTCATAGTAAAACGACTTAAACATG